AAGCTTTTTGGTGAAAAGGCCAGATAGAAATATTTTAGGCTTCTCAGGGCGCATTCCTCTCTGTCATACACTCTTTTGTTTCTAAAAATCTAAAAATCATTCTTAGTTTGCCAGCTGTATGCTATATTTTGCCAACTCCTTCATGAAAATGCTTGTGTTTTATGCATTTTCTATTTTTAAAAAATATTTAACAAAAATACAGAAGAATTGTCTACAAGAAAAAATAAAAGCAAAATAAGCCTTTATCTGTTCTTCCCTTTCAACAGTTTTGAGCACCCATAGAGTACCAAGCATTGTTTTGGGAGTTAGAGACTAAAGACAACAATATATTATCTCTTATATTTCAAGTAGTGGAAACCAATTAAAAATAATCACATCTGTATGTAATAAGCACTGTAAGAGATGGAAACAGCAGTAAATAAAGCAAAATCCCTGCTCTCATGGAATTAACATTCTAGTGAACAAAAATGGGCAATGAATTATAAAGTTAAAACATATAAATTATTAAGTAAAAATATTAAAACTATATGGCACATCAATAGCAATGAATGATGTACCATAAACAAAATGGAAACCAGGTATGGTGGCACACACCTATAATCCCAGCACTTGGGAGGATTACTATCAGTCTGAGCCTTGGGCTACATAGTTCAAGGCCAGCCTGAACTATATAGTGAGACCCGATTTCAAAAACGAACAAAGAGAAAGATACATCATGTAAAGGTACAAGATCCCAATGATGAATATAACTGTATCGTATACCTAAAATGTACCAATAAACTTAATGAAAAAAAAAAGCTGTTCCTTTTATTATGTAACAATTTTGCTATCTTGTATCTCATTTAGAAACAAAATGTAAATTTTGCAAATTTTATATGAGGATTTATTTTTGGTATGCTTTCATTCCCTGTAGATGTCATTCTGCTTCTTACTTGCTTTATAATACAACTTATAGGATCTGACATTTAAAAAAAAAATGAACAAATAGAAAATTTAAAAATAAACAATAAGGGGCAAGAGATTTAGCCCAGTGGCACTGCGCCTGCCTCACAAACGCAAGGTCCTGAGTTCAATCCCTGTACCAAAAAAATTTAATTAAAAAAAAACAACAATATGGATAAATCTTACAAAAGTAATGTTGAATGAAAGGAGCCAGAAATAAGAGTACATATTGCATGATCCTTTTACATAAAATAAAAACAGATGAGGCAGGAGGACTGCCATGAGTTCAAGGACAGCTTGGAATATATAGCATGATGCTGACTCAAGAAAGTCTATACATTTTACATAGAGTACAAAAACAGAAAAAAAACTTATCTATGTTATTAGAGGTCTATTAGAGGTCAGGCTAGTGGCTAAGTCTGGTGGAGCAGAGAAGGGACTAGTAAGTGGAAGGCAACAGAAACAAGACTTCTGCAGGCCTGGTAATACTTTGTTTCTTTTTTTTTGGTACTGGGGATCCAACTCAGGTCCTTGTACTTTCGAGGCAGGCGGCGGAACCACTGAGCTAAATCCCTGGCCCAATATTTTGTTTCTTAAACTGGTACATTTGTAAAAACTCACTGAACTGAAAATTTACACTCTATGTGTACTCTTCATTTTTCCTTGCAGTACTGGGGAATGAACCCAGGGTCTTGTTTATGCTAGAAAAGCACCCTGGCACTGCACTATATTTCAAGCCCTTTTTAATTTTATTTTATTATGAGACAGGGTTCTGCTAAGTTGCCTAGACAGGCCTTAAACTTGCAATTCTCTTGCCTGTCTCCTGAGTCGTTGGGATTACACACATGTCACTGTACCTGGACGATGTGTACCTGTGGATGTGTTTTCTTGTGTAAGTATATCTGAATCAATAAAAAAAAATTCTGTGTGTCAGAGAAAAAGAGGGAGAAAGAGAGAGAGGTGATAAGTAAGAATTAGTACAAAGCAAAGTTAGCGACAGTGACAAGGTGTGACAAAGTTATCTTAGAGTTGGCTGGGGGAGACTACTCTGCTAGCTAACCCTCCTCCAGTACTGGGTGTTGAACCCAGGGCCTTTGCACTGAGCTACTTATCTTCAGCTTTTTTAATTTTTTATTTTGAGACAATGTCTCACTAAGATGCTAATTTGCCTGGGCTGGGGTTCAATTTATGATCCTTCTGTCTCAGTCTCCCAGAATCCTAGGATTACAAGCATGTACCACCACGCCCAGCTAACATCAAAGGTCATTTGTGAGCAATAAAGAGATAGCTAATATATATAGAAAAGAATGTTCCTGGAAAAGGGACTAGCAGACAAAGGCCCTGAGGCAAAAGAGTTCTTCACAGTGTTTAAGAGGGGCAGTGTGGCTATCACACATGGGCTCACAATGTAGCCCAGGCTGGCCTTGAATTTGTGATCCTCCTGTTTCAGCCTCTCAAGTGCCAAGATTACAGGAGTGTGCCACCATGCCCAGTTTACATGAACTTTTTTTTTTCTTAAATTCTGTTATTGGTACATTTTAGGTATACAATACATTTATATTTATCATTGGGTACTGGTACCTGTACATGATGTATCTTGGTTCTCATTTTTTCCCCATTACCTGTGCACCCTTCACCCCCTCCACCCTTCCCTATTTACAAAGACTTTGTTTCCATTTTTTTCTTTTCTCATAATTTTTCCTTTCCCTTCCCCTTCTTTCCTTTCCCCTTCCCCTCTCACTTTCCCTACCCCTTTTGAAGCTTTCTTTTCTTACTGGGGATCAAACTTGGGACCTTGTGCTTGCCAGGCAGGCGGCGGCACCACTGAGCTAAATCCCCGGCCCTGAAGCTTTTTTTTTTGAGACAATTCTCATTATGCAGTTCAGGCTGGTCTTCTCTTGCAATGATCTTCCTGCCTCAGCCTCCTGTGTGCTAGGATTACAAGTATGCACCACAACACCTGGAAAACATTTCTAACATTTAAAAAAATATGACATGGGGGCCAAGGATTTAGCTCAGTGGCACTAAGCCTGCCTCGCAAGTTCAATCCCCAGTACCTCCCCCCAAAAATATGACACTTGGATTCAATCCCCAGCATCGAGTATGAAAATAATACTAAAATCCAAAATTGTCCTCATAAGTTTAACTTACATTTTAATGACTGCTTCGATAATTATAATTATTCTAATAAATTCATGTTTTTATTAACTAGTAGAAGGAAGTACACTGTAAAACATTTTAACAACACAGAAGGCTAAACAGGAAAAGTACAGTGCTACCCAATTATACTGATGCAAAGAAAAACTTTCCTGAACAAACAGAAAGCCAGGCGTGGTAGCAAACGCCTGTAATCCCAGCTCATCAGAGGCTGAGGCAGAAGGATCGCAGTGAGTTCAAGGCCAGCCTGGGCTACATAGTGAGTTCAAAGCCAACCTGAACTACATAGCAAGACTCTGTCTCAAAAACAACAACAACAAAGATCTAGAATGAAAACTCATCTCAGCAGCCCCAAACCTGAGATCCTACCTACAGCAATACCTGCAGTCTATACAGACACAGTACTCTTGAGTACAAAGGTCTTGACTAGTATCAACAAATTATCCTTCCCCTGCTGGGTATCTTCCCCAAAGAATTAAAAGAATCATACCACAGTGATATATGTGCATCCATGTTCATAGCAGCACAGTTTGTAATAGCTAAAACTTGGAAACAGCCCAAATGCTCATCAACTGGAGACTGGATAAAGAAAATGTGGGGTTTTTTAATAAAATGGAGTACTACTCAGCCATCAAAAATGAGAAATTAGAGACATTTATTGCTAAATGGATGCACATTGAGGTGATACTCTTAAGTGAAAAAAACGGGACACACGTGTAAATACCGAAGTTTCTCTAGTGTGAAAAACTGAAAGTATAAATAAGGACTAAAAGGTATAATAGATAATGTGAAATAGGAAGAAAAGGGGCAAAGGGGAGGGGGAAGTGGGAGGGGTAGGGGAAAGGAAAGAAGGGAATAGAATTAATGTGAGAAAATGAAAAAATGGAAACAAAGTCTTTGTAAATAGGGAGGGATGGAGGGGTTCAAGGGAGGGCAGGGCAAGAGGGAAAAATAAGAACCAAGAGGATGTAAAGGTGCATATCTCCAATGATGAATGTCATTATATTGTACACCTAAAATGTACCAATAAAAGGATATACCAAAAACAAAAACAAACAAACAAAAAAGCCCCAAATTATCCAAGGGCACAGGAGCAAATTAACACAAAATCCTACATTAACTAGTTCAGGGATCATCAACTTCAGCACTGACATTTGGATCAAATAATTCTTTGATGTAGGGAGGCTGCCCTAACTTTGCAGGAAGTTTACCAGCACCCCTGGCCTCTCATATCCCTACTCCCTCACCAACACAAGAAAAATGACTCCAAATGCTGACAAATATCCCCTTATTAGGGGCATAACTGCCCCTAGTTGAAATCACTAACTTAGGTACTTAAAACGTTAGGTTAATGGCCGGGGATTTAGCTCAGTGGTTCTGCCACCTGCCTCGCAAGCGCAAGGACCTGAGTTCGATCCCTGGTACCAAAAAACAAACAAAAAGTTAGGTTTTCAAGACCTTAAGATTTCACTTAAAGGCTAGACACAAACCAAATCTGTATGTTATTAGCTTTTCTACTTCCTGAGTAAGCCCTAGAACTAATTAAATATCAGGAGTTGACTGATTTTTTTAAAAGGGGAGAAAATTTAATTGTTGAAAAATTGTAAGCTTGGTGAGGATAAAAACCTAATGTTTGGACTGGAATCACTTCCTAGACAGACCACTGAGCAATACAGGCTGAGGCAATTTATTACACTGACAAGATAAGGACAGCTCTTGAACAAAGTTAATTACTGATATGGGCTTGAATCTAAGTAGGTGACTCATAGGCAATACTATGAATTTTTTCCCCTAACACCTCACTCCCCATGGGTATTTAATGGAATAAAATCTTTGCTCCAGTGTTCCTGGGCTTCTGGTCTCCTACAACAGGTGTCAAATTTCTCCAGGTGAATGCTTACCGGTAAGGGATTGGATAAGGAATGTTGCGGTGAGGATCGTGCAACTGGTGGAACACTTCTGCCAGGGCTGGTTCCTGGCCCGCTTCCCCCAGCAAACTGGCCAACAGGGAAAAATGGATATGAATAATTCAAAATAGTACTATGCTTCAGATAAGGAGAGTAAAAGATTAATACACAAACAGGTCTTACTTATACATGGCCCTTGTAAGTCAATACATCTTATTCTAGACAGAAAATGCCACATAAGCCAAATTCTCTTCTTTTCAACAAGATATTTAAGCAAGAGCTCCCACAGAAATGTACCAAGATATACAGAAAACATGGCTAGAAAGCTGAAAGTACACATGGTTTTGAAAGGACATAAGAGAAGAATGTTTTTCCTTCTTGTCTCAAAATACAGAGCAGAAATATAGTGGTGCAGTGGATGTTAGTCTTCCTTAGTAACCACTAACGATGGATCACTGAGCTTATTACATGTTCCACGGGACTAATGGAAGAGGACAAAAGGAGAGTACAAGTTACTCCACCTTTATCTCTGAAAGACACAAAACCTAGTCTGGCCAAGAGATAAATCACCTCATATGTAAATTCTTATATCATCACAGACAAGACATATAATAAACAAATTTAAATTTGGAAAGTTAGCAGTTTCCTCTTATTGAGAGATGGGTGGCAGGCATTAGGTTGATGAAGATGGGGAATAAGGGAGGGAACCACAGTAAAAGCAAAATATTGCTTTCAAATCCCTTACACGAACACAAGGATTTAGGTTTTTAAAGACATTACAGATTTTTCCCAAAAAATTTAACTTACCTCAAAGTAATCACTAATTTTATGTCCCCTAGGAGTGCCTTTCCCTGAAAATGAAACCAAAGTAAGTACAATTTCCAATGCATATGTAAACCATCATTCACCAAAATGCATTATGTGTTTAGTAACTGTATACGTTGTTATAAGCAAGTGCTAGCTTTTACTTTTAACAAAAAAGTCAAAATACCTGTACCTCAACGAACAGACTGTTTCCCACATAATACATGACTGAACCAGCAGTGAAAGGAAGAATTTTTCACAGCTCATTTTCTTTTAAGATTCAATAATGCTTCTTTTACAAATACTAATAAAACTATACCACAATTGGGAAACAATATCAAGTCTCACATATAATCCACATCTCAATTTAAAAGAATGACAGTTCAAAACAAACTCATGAAAATGAAAGAGTTGATTCTACCTTACACAAAACTTGGTATGACCATGTCCCTCTGAGAAAATATTCCTTCCAAAAGACAAAATGAATTATCTATAGATTTTTCTATTCTTTAGAATGTAAAAGGAAAAAAAAAAAAAACCACTTATTTTTCTTTGATTATATGAAATATTTTGCATTACTACATAACCTTTACAAATTTATTCTAGTGGGGTCCAGTGTTCAACTAAATAACTGCTATGAAAAAACAACAGGAGGGCCAGGGATATAGCTCAGTAGTGCTGTGCCTGCCTGGCAAGTGCAAGGTCCTGAGTTCGACCCCCCCGGCCCCCGTACCAAATAAAAAAAGAAAAGAAAAGGGAAAAGGGAAAAGGAAAAGAACAAACAGTAGGTATAAAGGAAAAGAAAACTATTATAAGAAGAAATTAGAAGAAAAAAACATTAGAAAGAAAACTATTTCTGGTTACCACTACTAACAAATCACTGAATTAATGTAAAACATATACATAAAACTCAAATCTCAACTCTTTTCTGTATCATGTATGTTACGTCTGAAGAAAAGCCCATATGGTCCCCAAAGAATTGACACTATTTTGTCAGATGTCTATCATATGGCTAGTCTGTAATAAACAGCTTAATATTCCTCTAAGATATACAAATCTTCTTTGTCAGGACTCCCTGTATACAAACTAATTATTTACCAGGAGCCCGAAAATTCTAACTACATAAGAATTCAATATTTTTATCGAGTGTGAAATTATTACTACCTTGGCTAGTTTCATATGGTTCAGCTTTTCTTTTCCGATTTCGCTGGTCATTCTGCTTTTTCTCAGGAGTCTGTTAAATACCATATACATCACAATTAGCATTTTGCTAAAACTTTCAATTAGTAAAAATACAGTATGTACAGAATATCAAATATATAAAAGAGATATAACTATCAGACAATCCTGAATCAGGGTCTTGGTCTAAAAACAGAAAAAGAAAAGGTACAAAATCCTGCATGTAATTTTTGTCAAGTTGCTCAAAATGTCATAGCTTCAATGCATCCCAGTGTAAAAATCAGTGCTGCTACAAAGCTTAAAAAGATTATTTTTACAACACAATAAGTAAAACGGTCCCACACAGCAGCCTCCCAGACAACTTTAAGTGTTTAAACCCAATCCCTTCTTCCAAAAAGGAAAGATCTACATAGCTAAAACTTTGAGTTAGTCACTTGATCAATTAAGTACAAAGTAGGTAGTTGCAGACTTACACCTACAGCCCCTACATCTAGGTTATTTGCCTAATTTTTTAAAAACTCTGATCTTCCATTTAAGCAGAGAAAAATTAAACAAAACCCTTTAAATTCTGTTACTCAGGAGGCAGGGATATAGTTCAGTGGCACTGCACCTGACTGACAAGCGCAAGGTCCTGAGTTTGATCCCTGATACCGAAAACAAAAACAAAAACAAATAAATTCTATTACTCAAGTTAGCCACTGCCCACTGCTGAAATGAAACTATAAAATTCAAGAGTACCTAAGTTAATTTATCTACTCCTGATTATATATGCGACTATCCATAGCAACTACGAAAAAATTTAAAAAGACAAGGTCTATACATGATTATAAAACCCATCAGGGCCATATCATAGTTATACAGATAAAAACAGCACACAACTCAAAGGGGATTCATACACACAGACTATAACAAACCCAGAATAAAAGTACAGGAATACAGAAAGTTTTGCACTGGATATAGTTTCTTACCTCCACTTCTTTATCACTCAAGGATCCCACGCTGCACAAACTCTGGTTGGAAGACTCACTATTGAGTGGCCCCTAGAAAGAAAAAATTTTTTTTAAAAATCAGAAGAAATTTTAATTTAAATAGCCAGGCATGGTGGCATACACCTGAAATCCCAGTACTTGGGAGGCTGAAGCAGGAGAATCATATTGAGTTCAAGGCTAGCCTGGGCTACACAGTGAGTTCAGGGCCAGCCTGAACTACACAGTGAGACCCTGTCTCAAAAAGCAAAAAATGAAAAACGAAATTTTAATTTAACATGACAGTAAAACAGAAGAAGGCACCTAATGATTTTGGTGTTTAAGAGGTCAAAGAGGCCAAGATTTAACTGTAATATCTCCAAACCAACTTGAACTCAACTATAGTATGGTGCCCTCCATGTAAAATATCTCTAAGTTACCATTATTTTCATTTCCTTTATGAACTCTATATTCATTGGAAGATTTTCCATTCTAAAGAATTTTCACATGTTCTGAAACCATTCTTTAAGAAAAATAAGGATGGTAAATCAATTTTCCCAGGCCTTGTATCATAAAAGCAGTATCTTAAAGCTGTAATACTAAGGAGTATGTCAATGGTTCTTTATGAGTGGGTGGTCAGGAACTACAAAAAAGGAAATGCTTTTCTAAGTCATGTCTTACAGAGGCATAAATGCAAGCTTAAAAAACAAAGTTCCAAATGACTGACTGAGCATTAACAGCATGAGCTCTACTGGCCTGCTCCTCAGTGAAAATTGCGTATAAAGATGAAATTGTAAACATTCAGAACCTCTGGAAATGGTCTAAAGGGCAAATAATAAATTAAGAAACATTTGTTCAATAAAGTCTATGAAAATTCATTCAGCAAGGTAAAAAAGTATGTGGTATTTGAACCAAGACTACACCAACCCCCTAGCATCTCAGCCTGACTTCCAGACTGCTGCAACCAAAACACAAGCTCCCTCTTCCCTGAGATCCAAGCCCAAGACTTCAGCATCAAAGGTAGGAGGCTCCCTTCTTCTGCCCAATCCCTATGCATAGGATAGAAGCTCTTCTGTAGGCACAGCACAGAGAATCCTGGGGCTTTTCACTCATATCCATATCAGAGACAGTAATTCCACTGAAATAGGAATGTGAGGGGATCTCAGGCTGCAGATGGCCCCATACCGTGCCCAGGTCTCAGCTCCTGGAGTTAAGGTATCACTTTAGAAAGCTTGTCATTGCCCTTACCCCATCTTATATATATTAGCCTAAGGGAAGAAGCAGCAACACATAGTATTCATATGACCTGACTTTACTGGTTTCCAACAACAACAACATCATGAAACATCGGAATAAAAGAGAAAATATGACTCATAAATTTGAAAGAAAAAAAATCAGGCAAAGAAATTCCCTTACTGTGATCAGATATGGCATTTAAAAGAAAAAAATTTCAAAACAGCCACTATAAATATTGAAAATCATGATTAAAGAAATAAGGGAAGATACAGATGATGTATCCAAGGAATGGTGGCACATGCCTGTAAGCCCAGCATTTGAGAGGCTGAGGCAAGAGGATGGCTGTGAGTTTGAGGTCATACTGGGTTACAGAGTGAGCTCAAGGCCAAACTGAACTACAAAGCAAGATTCCCTCTCAAACAAACAACAATAAATTCAAGGCCAGCCTAGATAACTCAGGGTTGAGAGTACAGTTCAGTGGTTGAGCACCCCTGGGTTTGAGCCTCACTACCACTCTTTAAAAAACAGAAACTCCAAACCAAGCATGGTAGCACACACCTGTAATCCCAGCACTCAAGGGGCTGAGGCAGGAGAATCACCATGAGGTGATTACTCAAGGTCACCCTGGACTACACAGTGACCTCAAGGGTAGCCTGGACTACACAGCAAGACCCTGGCTCAAAAAACAAAAACAGTGGGCTGAGGATCTAGCTCAGTGTCGCCACACCTGCCTCACAAGCCCAAGGTCCTGAGTTCCATCCCCCATACCACAAAAAACAAAAAACAAAAAAACACAATCAAACAAACAAACCCTCCACAGCTGAAAGGAAAGTTAACAGAAATTAAAAAAAAAAAAAAAAGTCACTGAACAGGCTCAACAGTAGAACTGAACAAACAGAAGAAATAGCAAACTTGAAGACAGACCAACAGAGACTATGCAAGATGATTAATTGTCCCCCCTCCGCTTTTTTTTGGTACCAGGGATCAAACTCAGGTCCTTGAGCTTGCTCAGCAGGCGGCAAAACCACTGAGCTAAATGCCCCAGCCCTCCTCCCTTTTTTATTGGTACCAGGGATCAAACTCAGGACCTTGCACTTGTGAGACAGGCACGGTGCCACTGAGCTACATCCCCAACCCCTCTGTAAGACAATTAAGAGAAAAAAAAAAAATAGAATGAAGGCTGTGGGTATAGCTCTGTGGTAGACTGTGTGCTTAGTATGAGTAAGACCCTGGCTTCACCCTCAGCACAACCCCCTCCCCCAAAAAGAACTGTAAAAGAAAAATGAAGCATTACATAAATGTGTAAAATTGTTAAGTGTACTAGCATATGCATAATTGGGGTACAAGAAAGGTGAGTGAAAAAGGGGGCACGCAAAAAATACTCCAACAAATAATGGCTAAAAACTTCTCAAATTTCTTGAAAAATAAACCTACACACACAAGCTCAAGAAACATCAAATAAGATAAACACAAAGAGATCTACAAATGGAGGAATTACGGGGGAAATGCTCAAACGCAAAGACAAGGAGAAAATTTGTAAAACGAGAAAAACAATGTGACACAAAGAACTCAGGTAAGATTAAAAACTGACTTTGCAGTAAAAGCAACGGAGGTAAATGGAGCACAGGGATAAAATACTAAAAGTGCTCAAAGAAAAAAATGTCAAACAAGAAATCAATTTGAGCAGTGCAGTCTCTCAGAAAATGAAGGTGAAATACTTTTATCAGATAAAAAAGGAACTTCACCAACCTGACAAAGGGCATCAATGAAAAACCCAGAACTAACACTGTACTACTGGTGAAAGAATGACTGCTTTTTTCCCTCTAAGATCAGGAAGAAGAAAAATCTCCACACTTGCCACTTCTACTCAACACTGCACTAAAGAGCTTTATTAGTCCTGATGCAGTACACAATAACCACTACCTACAACTTAAGGAAGGAAAGTTTAACTCACATTTTCAGTCTATAGTCAGCTGACTGCAAGGCAAAAACATCATGGGAGAGGGGCCAGGGATTTAGCTCAGTGGTTCTGCCACCTGCCTCACGGAAGGGCATGGGAGTTCAATGCCCGGTACCAAACAAACAAACAAGCAAAAACACGGTCATGGGAGGAAGATGTGGAGGAGCAAAGCTGCTCAGTTCATGGTTGCTGGGAAGGAGAGTAGTGGGACAGTGCCAAGGAGGAAAGTGAGGGACCATATCAAGTATCCATGGTCACGCATCCATAACAAACCCAGACACACCCAGGAGTGTGCTTTACTAATCCAGTAGGTATTCCTTAATCCAATGAAGTTGACATATCAGGATCAACAGTCACCAAGAGTCTAGTCAGTCACCAAGAGTCTAGTCAGAGCAGTTAAGCAAGAAAAAGAATAAAAGGCATCCTGACTGGATGATGGGTGCTGTCCATGTCAGGGAGCCATGTGGGCAGGCCAGCAAGAGATAATCCAGTGTTAGAAGCTAAACAACTCAGGCCCCAAACCCAAGATCAGACTCAAATTCAGCCTGGACTTCCGTGGATTTGAAAGTCCCAGAACCAACACCACACCCTAATCTTACTGCTCACTTGCTAAGATTATCCTGCACAGATCTGGGCTCTGACCACCTTGTTTGTCTACCAGGAAGAAAGTCACAACTTGAATTGGACAGTGTCACAAAACTTTATACCCCAGAAGATATCCACAGGCTTGAAATCAGGACAAACTTCTTTTTGTTTGTTTTTGATTGTTTGGGTTTTTCTTTCTCTGATTGTTTGCTTTTGTTTCTTCCTGAGGGTGAACACTTAGTTTTTTTGTTTTGTCCATTTTTCTTTTTTCATTTTTTTCCTTACTTCCTGTCTTTTTCACCAGTTTCCTGAAGCTTGGGTAATTTTCCTCTGTCCTTCAGTCTTGCTTCTTCTTTTCTTTTCTTTTTCTATTTTTTCCTCTTTTCTTTAATTTTCTCCCATTAAAATAAAACTGCTCTATTCAGTGGATATTTACTGTATATAATTTCCTGATTTGTCTTAGATTTTGTTATATAACTATAGATCTCATATACAAGGTAAAAAGTGGCAAATTATTATTTATCACAGTTTGTCATTTTCCAATCTGTTTGATGCTACTGTTACTGCTGATTGTACTACTTTAGCCAAGGGGATCAACTGATCTTCCTTCTATGCCAAAACCTAGGTTATCTGAGGGACATAAATAATACTATACTCCAATACTAAAGAACTAGGTGGTAGGCCAAACAGGCTGCAACCTCTCATATCTAATAAACAGAAGGGACAGACTCAAAGGCCAAGAGCCAACTATACCTAGAAGAGATCTTGGAAAAGTAGTCCTTACTGAAGAAGCCTTGATAATAGTAATGAAGCTACCTACCGTAAACAATTTATAACCATCAGCTCAGAAAATAAAAAAATTAAGAAAGAAAGAACAGAGAAAAGAGAAATAAGTGAGAAGCATGAGAGAATAAGTAAGAGAAATAATAACAAGCAAGATGAAATCCCAGACTCCAGTTCAACCAAGGCAAATCCAGGGAGCACTGCAGTGGAAGAAATCAAAAGCCACCCAGCTGTAATTTCTTTTTTTTGGTACCAGGGATCAAACTTGGGACCTTTCGCTGGCGAGGCAGGCGGCAGAACCACTGAGCTAAATCCCCAGCCCTTGAAATTTCTGAAATGGTAGCAGTGGAAGAAACAAACTGGATGGAAAAGGTCTTTAGGAAAAAAAAAAAAAAAGAATTACAGATAATTAAAGAGATGATAACCATAATAAAGGACATGGTTAGTGAATCTAGAGTAGTTAGAGGAGCTTAGGAAAGTGATAGAAACTATAAATGCCCAACAACTGAAT